TACATCCCTGACCTCCGTGTCATTCGTAGTGCTTAAAATTTTCTTGAAGGCCAACTCTTCACCAACGGTGAACCACTTGTTCCTCAGGAGCTGTTCCCTCCACCTCCCGGTTTCCGTACACTTTAATAGTATGTGAATCTCGCTTTCTGTCGCCCCACATAAAGGGCATATTTTTTCCTCCATGCCCCCCCTCATCCCTCTCAGCTTCCAAATACCCGCTCTGAACCATGCCCATCCCTCCCTCTCCACCCTCGTACAACAACCAGTGTAACCCTGTCTACCCCACCCTGATTAAACTTTAAACCTGATTCCATAGCCATTTGGACGACATATTCTTGTGACAAAATGTTACGGGTATTTCTTATGTCGTTCCTGTAAATCTGTCACAAAACTTTTTCATCTGAACACATCGGGAATGCCTCGTCTTGACTTATCAGTGCCCTATTTGGGGAATAAACGCACATGCAATGCGGGCGGGCAAGACTGAATTGCTGGTTGGTGCTTTTTCGGTACAATTTGCATTCTGTGATGTTTGCACGTGAGAATGGTGAAATTTATACCCGCGTAAATCATCCCACACGCAATCCTAGGCAGTTCTGGCAAGATAACAATCAAAATTCAATTTCCTTGGTTTAATGAAAGACACGCGCTCACTGATACTTGTCGTCCTCAGCTTCGGGTCCTCTGGCCCGCTCCGATTCGGAAACAATTTCGAAGAAAATGTTTATACAGAAGTTTGATTGATACGGCTCCTTGGATGGGTGATCGGCAAATAGTAAGGCCTTTGCAGTAGGTGCATGCATCTTTTTCAGAGCAGTATTGGAACCTGACTTAACCGCCGACCGCTGTGATCGGTGGCTGCTATATCTTGTGAGTGGCAAATATTTATAAAATACGTACATTTAAGTTGGAGCGTAAGGAAGGGTGGATAGAACTGGCACAGGATTGAGGTCAGTGGCGAGCTTTACTAATGTGAGCGTTGAACTTATGGGTCTAGCTGTCAGAGAGTTGGTTATGTGGACTGGATCAAAGCGTTAGGAATCTTTAACAACTTAACCGATTTTGGCCACTGAATAAATACATCACTCTAAATTTAAACAGGATTTTAGATATATTTGCGGGTTTATTTATTTTTTGTTATTATAGGCTTACTGTGGGTATATAGGCCTGTGATATCCAAAACTTTACGAAGTAAAATTTCGAAAGACGGGATTGCATTCCTGACCTGTAGTTTTCGGTGCGAATTAAGAGCAAAACACAGAACATATGAATGTGTTCTGTGTTTTTGTGGTATTGCTACAGTCAAGTATCATACGAAGCACCTTTTAGTCTCTTTGTGTGTAATTCAGTAATTAGTTTAAAGGGAAAATTAGTTCTGAAAGCTGAAGCGGTTCGGAAACCTTGTCCGTGAGCACCTCATTCACTGCCCGACGTCGGAGTTCGCGCCAGCCTGATGCGACGTTGTCCGTCTCTGCTATGTCGGACTTTTCGTGCTTCACATTGAACGGTTTCGACAGCAATCTTCGTTGCCTTTCCAGCAACAAGTAAATTGAATGCGTTGGGATGAGAAGGGCGTTTGTCACAAGAAATCGAACTTAGGCGACGTGATAAAAGAAAAGTATAATGTTGTATGTGAACTGTAGCGAGCAGCTATTCTTACAGAGGAAGTCATGGTATTACTCAGTGAATCCAAACGAATTCCGATGTAGCACCTTGAAAAAGGTTGCGGCTATTTGCGTCGAAGTCCTCACTGGTTTTAGCATCTCATTTGGTTCTAAATATTCCGCGGTTGATACTTCGTCGTTAAATAACCAACAATTGAATGATTGAAGTAGATTTTCAGATGAACTGTGCGTTCCTGAGGGCCACTCATGTGACGCAAAGAGTGAAGGGCAGGAATAAGGAAGGTTGGTAGCTTCTTGGGCCAGACAAGAGATGGTCCACGATAACTCGTTGTCTGCTTGAAGACTACCTGAAGTTATGGCGCCTTTGATGCAGTTAATTAATGACATGGCGCGACTGTTGCAGGGGTCAGAGGGCAAGAGGGAAGAAGCAGGGTTGAACCGGCAGAGCACAGCCACTTCGTACCAATCGCCAGGCCCTGTGATGTGCGTGAAATATTTTGAGTAGAACCGTTTAATTCGATAAGCGGGTTGCCATGTCTTAATCCGAAATGTAGGACCCACAACCCATCCGCTGCCCCGTGTCGTCCGGGCGCAGTGAGAACGGATTCTGTTGGTCGGGATGACTTTTATGACATGCAAATTAGCTCAGTTGTCGATCGAGCTGCACAATGTTAGTGACTCTCAGAAATCGGCCGCCCTTCTGGTCACATCTCGTGATCTTAGTCAGTGTCTCCATCAGCAGTAATCTTCAGTTCAAGAACGAGTAACGGTCGTGATCGTAAGTGGTCACTAAACCAACCAACCAACCAACCAAAAAGCTAACTAAGACCTGAGTCCCTTGCTAGGTAACACCAATTTGCTTACGCTAACGAGGTTTTGTCGAATGACATCCTGAACTTCATTACAGCACCGAGTGTTGTTAGATATTCCGGTGAATGTTTGTTTGAATAAATAATTGCTTGCATACGCGACAATGTTGGCATGGCAACGTAAGTATTCGTTTGTGTGTAATGTCACGTGTCAAAGGAAAAACACTGGCACTAGGATTCAAGTAGGTTTTAGCGTTGTGTAATGTAACTACGGTTGAGAGGGCTGCATATGCAGTAGGCGTGGGTAGATGATAAATGCAAACAAGTACTTTTTCGGAAGACCTCAGAGAAAAAGTCCGCTTTGAGACAGGTGTGGAAAGTGATATTAAAGTGATTATTGAAAGAATGAGGTGTTGGCGTGTGGGCTGGATCGGATAGGCGGCTTCTTAGTTATGGGCGTTTTGGTAGTGCATTACACCGACCCTCCTGCGCTTTCGGAATGGCGTGTGCATCAAATTTTGCCAAAGACTCGCCAAAACGGCTACGGAAACCTATGAAATGCTAAAGCAAGCATTTGGGGAGTCCGCAATGGGTCGTGCACAAACTTTTGTGTGGCATTCACGTTTTAAAAATGGCCGAACCTCTGTCGATGATGACGAGCGTTCTGGACGACCATCTTCGAGCGCAACGCCCGAAAATGTTACGAAGATCGACGTCGTACCATCAACGACTTGTGCGACATTTTTGGGATAGGCTATGGGACCTGTCAGCTGATTCTAAAGGATGAACTCCACATGCGACGCATCCTGTCAGAGGACTAGAAGCAGAATCGACTTCTCGTTTGTCAGGAGCTCCAAGATCTTGCAAGAACCGACCCCAACTTCCTTTCTAAGCTCCGTGTGACTTCTTCCTCTTCCCAAAGATGAAAATTCAGCTAAAGGGAAGGAGATTTGAGACGATAGAAGAGATTCAGGCAGAATCGCAGATGGTGCTTGACAGGCTGACAAAGAAAGATTTCCAGGGATGCTTCCAGGCTTGGCAGCGGCGCTGGGATCGTAGTGTTCACTCCCAGGGGAACTACTTCGAGGGTGATGGATGAATTTAATACCTTAGATAAGTGTACGGGTTTTTATAGGCGCAGTCTGGAAACTTTCCGATCGCACCTCGTATAGGAGAAATTAAATCCCTTGTTTTCCAATCGACAAAAGCAAGTTTCTCCAATTCTGAACAAACTACTGCAGGTTATTATTGGAAGACGTGGTCATTTTATGTACCGCATAAGCTTCGTATTAATTTAAATGTTAATGACAGAGAAC